TCTTCTTGGCTCACAGATAGATAATTTAAATCTGAACCAGCATAGAAGGCAACCTAGAGTTCTTAGTTATTTCTGTACCCCTTTGGGCGGATTTTCTTTTTATGCCTGCACATCATTCCTACCCCCTCTGAAAGAGCCCCTCTTGCTCATTTCTCTCTGTTCCTCCATGTCCACCTTTAGATGACTGATGTCAGCCCTTTGGACTGGAGCATTAGCCTGGGTCAAAGAGGTCTGAATGAACAATCACGCGGTGCATACCATGAATGCTGACACCCAAGACGGCTGCAGGATTGAAAAGATGTTGCCCCCACAGCAGTAGTACCTTTCTTTCTCTGGGTCAGCAATGGTGGCACAGTGAAGGGAGGGGGCACCAGGGCAGGGAGATGCCTCCAGGTCCCACTTGAGTCATTGAGGTGGAAGGCAAGAGGAGCAAAAAGGTGAGGGAGGAGAACTAGGGAGGTAATGCAGCACAGGGCTCATGGAGGAGGTGTTTATTGGGGCTTGAGAGAGATAGTCTCTTCACTAAGGGTTTTTTGGAGGGGGGTAAGAGACATGAAGAGAGGTCATTTCTACAATCCCAAATGTAAATTAGTTCCTCCATGTCCACCTTTAGATGACTGATGTCAGCCCTTTGGACTGGAGCATTAGCCTGGCTCAAAGAGGTCTGAATGAACAAGCAACGGTGCACACCAATTATACTCTGAAAAAATCTATTTTAATGTGTCTTCTTTACACCATTAAAATGCCTTGTTATGCAACTGTAGCAGGGGTCTCAAGTTACTTGGCTATTATAAAAGAGGGTTGTGACTTAAAAGTCTGGAAAGCACGTTCTAGATAATATCTTGACTGATGATTCAATGGGGTTTATCCTCATGATTACGAATTATTATATTAATATTAATATATTAGGATCCAATTATACTCTGAAAAAATCTATTTTAATGTGTCTTCTTTACACCATTAAAATGCCTTGTTATGCAACTGTAGCAGGGGTCTCAAGTTACTTGGCTATTATAAAAGAGGGTTGTGACTTAAAAGTCTGGAAAGCACGTTCTAGATAATATCTTGACTGATGATTCAATGGGGTTTTTCTTCATAAGAAGAGTAATGCAGCACAGGGCTCATGGAGGAGGTGTTTATTGGGGCTTGAGAGAGATAGTCTCTTCACTAAGGGTTTTTTGGAGGGGGGTAAGAGACATGAAGAGAGGTCATTTCTACAATCCCAAATGTAAATTAAACTCAAAGTGTATTGACATTTTCTTTCTTAATTTTTATCTGGTAGAGACAGATTTACAGTATCCTCATGATTACGAATTATTATATTAATATTAATATATTAGGATCCAATTATACTCTGAAAAAATCTATTTTAATGTGTCTTCTTTACACCATTAAAATGCCTTGTTATGCAACTGTAGCAGGGGTCTCAAGTTACTTGGCTATTATAAAAGAGGGTTGTGACTTAAAAGTCTGGAAAGCACGTTCTAGATAATATCTTGACTGATGATTCAATGGGGTTTTTCTTCATAATAAGAAGAGAAGGAAGAAGAGAAAGAGGAAAAAGAAGAAGTTGCTTTATCTAATAATAGCCAGAGATTCCTATATGGAACTTGTGTATCATTTCGTTCATGCCTGTCTTCAGCTTCTCAACTAAGGAATGCAAGTAATTTCCTATCACAACCATCTGACTGTTTCTTAATCCCCTTTTCCTCAATCTGCCCTTTATAGCTTGTCCTGATTTCTACCTTACTTCAACACTCAACAGCACCACTAATGCACCACAGAACGTTCTCTGCATCAATATGAGTATCTTTCATAAGTGTTTATTCAAAAAGTGACCCTGTTGTTTTAAGCAGATATTAACAACCTGCTTTGAACAAGAACCTTCCAGTGCAAAGAATAGCTGATTGCCTCAGGTTTAGCCATACCATTTCTGCTTTCCTGCTTAGGCCCCCACTGCTGGCAAGATACGATTTTATATCCACTTGCACTACTGCAAGGCACTCACTGTACATGGGTCTGTCTTTGAAAACAACCAGAAATGCAGACCAGTTCGGAACATATGGCTGCAAAATGTCTCAGTGGACCAGGACAACGCATCATGAACACATCATGTCAGATCCAAGAGGTGGAGGGCTCACCTAGCTACTGTGGGATGAGCTGTTTGGACCATGGACTACCAATGAATGTCAATGCTTTGCTATCTGAACTGGCTTCCAATCCATCTCCAGGTACAACTGTAAATACTGCCTTTTGCCTAGATACTATAGCTTGTTCTTTCCACATATACCTATTCTGACCTTGATATTGCCTTCTCTGAATGACCCAACTCAAACAGAGGTAGTAGAAAGCAACAGAAGAAAGTGGTCTTCAATAATCATAACCTGGCTGTGGAATATTCTCTCTAGCCTCTTCTTCTGATTCAACTTGAAGCTACTTTTACTCTTTGCAGCTGTTTTAGTACTCTATTGCTCCGTTCGCTATCACTGAGCTTTTAGTACTTGTTGTGAGCCATCCAAAGAACTTCTATGCACTGGCTTATAAATACCATAAACAAAATAAATAAATATACTGATGAGAGCCAAGGCTTTTCCCTTTTTCTGTCCTCCATGGATTGTTCAGTATTTGTGTTGATGGGTCAAAATAAGCAGAGCTTTTGGGACCAGATAGAGTCTGAAGAGGGCATGGAAGCAGAAATAAGTAATGGATAATATTGACTAAATTCTAGGCAGCTGGGTTGTGAGTCCATTAAAAGTCTTTTTTTCTTTTTAAATAGATTCTTGTTCCAATAACTCTACCACAGAATTCAGGAAGAACACAGCATATGCCTGCATTGCTTTTTTAGCCTTTTTAGAATGATTCCAGAGTCCAAATTCAAATGCAGTAGTGAGATACAAAAGCAACACTTTATGGATTGAGAGTAACCTTGCTCTATTTAGTAGAAGAGGTACGGATAGGATGGTATGTACTCCAGGGGGGGAAAAACTCACTCTACAAAGAATGTATTTGTATGAGACCTGGAACTGTCTAAATTGCAAGTCTGAAAATGTGCTGTTTTATCCAGAGTGACAAATAGCATTCACCTATTTAAGCCTGTCCAATTTCAGCTCCACAGTAAGCCCCTCTTCAGGAAAAGCCTTGGCTTCAAGGGGAAAGAAGGGAGTAATGCCACATGTTTTAGCCAAAAAGTCCTCATGAATCTCACACGATCACATTCCAAAGAGTACTCATCCTCAATGACAATGGCTCCACTGGCTGGAGAAAGAGTGACCGCCTCTAAACAGCAACAAATTGTTATTTGGGTCTAATATCCTGAAGCAGATGTGCTTTCCTGAGGAAATATGTCAGGTCCCGCACAACAGAAATAACAACTTTACTTTTGTTATTGTGCCATTCTTTGTTTGCCTAGAAAGGTATTTTCTGTGACTTATCTGTATTCCAGACAACTTTGGGACGCTCCCATTTCAGTCAGACCTCTAACTTCCTCCCTAAAATTATTGCCCAAAACAGACCAGACAGTGACAAACAAGAAGAATGGATGTTGCATCTTCCCTCTGTATATATACTCCTTGGGAGAACCTCTCCAAGCAGTGGAGGATAGTGATCACACATAGCATTTTATAAGACACGTATGTATGGTGAGTGCTTCTAACAAAGGGCTTACTGAAAGGCAAGTGTTTTGATTCCTCCTCAAAACTAAACCAAGAAGCCATTGGGACTCTTTTGGATATGCAAGTAAGGGAAATCCTAATCCACCAGGAGAAGAGCTGTTGAGAGAGTGAGAAATTAGAAGGGAACATGCAAATCTGGTGACTCCAGCTGTTAAGCATAATTAAAATGTAAAACAGAGACAGCAAAACAGAGGAAGCCCTGCCGATTCTTCTGTGGTCTACCAGAAATCTCTTCACTCCAGGATCGCTTTATAGTTCTGGACAAAACTTAAACTTGCTACCGCCTGGCAGGTTAAAGAAAGAATCCCTAAAAGTCACAATATGTTGTGGATATCCTTCCTTGGACCGTGTATATCCCTTGCCTGACACTGTGTCATTCTGCTACTCCAAATCTCAAATGAGACCAACTAATTACCCCCAAACTTCCATTTGGGACTAGTTATCCCTTGGAACAAACTTTCTTTTAAAGAAAAGGCAACAAAATGGCGAGTCCTCCGGGTGATGCCGACATACATGACATTTTCTTCCTTCCCTTTCCTGTATCTTTCAGCCCTTTCAACCTCCTGCACGATATAGAAACCATCCAAACCTTGTTTTCCACCTTACAGTATTTGATTCTTAATTATAACTGTCTGCTCTTCCTCTGCTCTGCCTGTTCGTCAGGCTACAATCCTACTGAAAGTGTGGTTAAATTCGGACTCCACTCCTGGGTACCCCGGTTGGACCACGAATGCAACAGAGTCGTTAACAGACCAGAGACGAGAATCTAAGGGATAACTAACCTGTGTTTTAACAGCAAAGGGAGGGGGCCGCGGCGCGCGGAGGAAACTGCCTAAATCTACACCTTAAATATTGTGACATAAGCTTTTCCGGCTCACAGCCTTCCCCGCATCAGATGGAGAAGGAAAGAGGCTCTGGTAGCCCACGAAACCTTCTACCACAGTACGATCTCTCAGATCTTTAAGGTGTCACACTGGACATTGGCAAAGGGTCGGTGCAAGGCTTACCTCGACCGTAAGTAAAGCCCTTCCTTCTACCGAACGCCAGCCCGGTGAGGCAGGCGCCCAGCTCGGCGGCTCCGCTCTCGCCCACTGCCCCGCTCCATGGCTCGCTCCTGCTCTAGGGGCCCGAAAGGGAGACGGCAGACGACCTCGCCCGCCCGCCGGCCCGCCCGCCCTCGGTGCACTGACCGAAGACCCGGCAGAGCGAGCGCTCGCCCTCTCGCTTTCCCTCACACACAACGCGCGCGCACACCCTCCCGGCACGCGGGCAGAAGGCGCTCGGAAGAAGCGCCCTCACGTCCCTCCTGCCCACTCCAAGCCCCGCTACCTTCGGAAACAAGGAGCCGCTCCGGGCGCGGCGGCGGCGGCGGCGGCGGCAGGTCTCCACCTCATCCCAGGGGCTGCAAGCCAGCAGGGCTGCTGTCGTTGCCGCATCTCCTCGCCCGTCCGCAGCTCAGGTCCCCTCCGTTCCAGCGAGCGGCGGCAATCGGATGACCATCTTGCGTGTGTGTCCGTGTGTGTGTGTGTGTCCGTGTCCTTGGAGCACCGCTCTCGTCCCCTGGAAGGAGGGGAAGAATAAAAGCCCCTCGTGGCCAATTCTCGCGCTCACACATCGCCACTTGCCCTTGTGCTGCCATGTGGAGGCTTCTCCTTGCCACGCTTCTGCTCGCCACCCAGGGTAAACCTGAAAATCCCGGGAGGAAAGGGCCCGTTTTGCACCTGGGACCCTAAGGCTTACCCCGTTACTTGACCCGACCCCACAGCAGTTTCTGTGGTGTTCTTTTC